AAGGATGCAGGCCGTGGTGCCAGCAAGAGCCCCTGCATGTTGGTGGCTCTGCGGCCAACCAACATGGACCGTGAGCGGGACAAGTTCTTCCAGTCCCATTACACCTACAACCCACAGTTCGAGTACCAGGAGCCCATGCCTACGGCTGTGCTGGAGAAGTACAGTGAGGCCTCTGGACAGTTCCTCCATCAGGTCAGTGCAGACTGCCCACCTCACCCTGGCCCTTCCACCTGAGAGGCCTGGCCTGACCTGCCGCTGTGGCCCTTTGTGCAGGCGGTTGGCATCATTGAGGCTGTCCTGGAGAAGTTTGGTACCTATGAGCACTTTGAGGCTGCGACTGGGGGCCAGCTGCTGACCAAGTGCCAGATCTGGTCCATTGTGCGCAAATACATGCAGAAGGAGGGCTGTGCTGGGGAGGTGAGTTCGCCCTGCCTGCGAGGCCCCCTTTCCACATGCTCCAAACCAGGCTGCTGAGTGGGCAATGCCAGGCCCAGCTCTACACTGATGGAGCTAGTGACCTCGGGCAAGCCCTGCCCCTGCCCCTGCCCCGGTAAGGTGGGAGCTGGCTCCAAGCAGTGGTGGGGAAGGGTAGGTGTTGTGGCCAAGTGTCCAGCCTGGCTGCCTTGTGGCCTTAGCGGGCCCATCGGCACACTTGCCCCTGGGCTGGTGGCCGTGGCTCAGGGCTCTGCCGCCCGCAGGTTGTGGTGCAGCTGAGTGAGGACCTGCTGTCCCAGGCAGTGATGATGGTGGAGAACAGCCGACCAACACTGGCCATCAACCTGACCGGAGCCCGCCAGTATTGGTTGGAGGGCATGCTGCGGCACGAGATAGGTCAGGGTGTGGGTAGGCGGGTGGGCGGGTAGGGGTGAGAGGGGGCTAGGACAAGGGGGGGGCAGTGAGGGTCTCCAGTAACCCCACCCCCTCTCTTTCTTCCCCTTCCCTCCGGAGGATGGGCCCCTTCCCTTCAGGAGCAGCTACCTCCTTCCTCTGGCTCACAGACATAGGCCAGAACATGCCAGCCCACTCTCTGGGCTCACCCTCATTTCTTGTTCCTTCTGGGTATCTTTTCCTCCCTCTACTTCCTCTATGATTTCCCTTGACAGTGGGGCAAGACTGCTGAGGCCCAGACAGGCCAGAGGGAGAGCCCTAAGGGTCCCACAAGCCCAGCCAACATGCAGGCCCTCCCCGGTGGGTGGAAGTTCAGATCCTGGGAATGGAATTAGCTGAAAACACACAGAGCTGGGTTTAGGAGGGGTTAGGGCCAGCCTGGAAAAGCGAGCATGGGACACTAATTACTAGTCTTTTCTGTCTGTCCCTCCTCATCAAGAATCCTGTTGCTCTGGGCAAAAGATGGTTTTTGCTGGGGACATCAGCATGATATGGGCATGCAGGATGTGGGGCTGGGGTAGTGTGTGAGTTCCTGCACCTCTCTGGGGGCTTGGGGGGCAGTGTGAGTTTGGGAGAGTTTGTGTGGGTGTGTGTAGCCCTGGACGGGTGAGGGAGGGTTCATGTATGTGAGACTCTGGATCCTTGGGTGTGAGTTCACCTGAGGAGAGTCTTCATGCTGCCTGGGGTTGGGTGAGTATGAGTTTGGGGTGGAGGGGACTTGTGTAAGAGCCTGACTTTAGAGGCATAAGGATATGTGAGTCGCTGGCTAGAGGTCCAGCTGGGCAGACCAGGACCCAGGCTGGGCAGGAGGGTCCCTTGGATGCGCGGCCCAGCGCAGCCTCTCCCTCGCCCACCCCACAGGTACCCACTACCTGCGGGGCGTGAACAACGCGCGGCAGCCGTGGCACAGCGCCGAGGGCCGGCTGCAGTATGGGCTGCGGCCAGCGAACCCCACCGAGGAGGGCCTGGCCAGCCTGCACAGTGTCCTGTTCCGCAAGCAGCCCTTCCTGTGGCGCGCCGCGCTGCTCTACTACACCATTCACCGCGCCGCGCACATGTCCTTCCGCCAGCTGTTCCAGGACCTGGCGCGCTACGTGCAGGACGCCGACGTGCGCTGGGAGTACTGCGTGCGCGCCAAGCGCGGCCAGACTGACACCTCGCTGCCCGGTGGGCGCCTGTGCAGTGGGGAGTGTCCTGATCTGTGGCAGGGGTGCGGGGGGGGTTCAGGTGGGGCTTTGGGCCTAGGGCTCACGGCCCTCCCGTGTCCACAGGCTGCTTCAGCAAGGATCAGGTGTACCTGGATGGCATCGTGCGCATTCTGCGGCATCGCCAGACCATCGATTTCCCGCTGCTGACCTCGCTGGGCAAGGTGAGGGACCACGCGCCTTCGGAGGGCCCAGCCAGCTCTCCCCATCACTGCAGTGTTCCCTGAGCCTCTGATTGGAACTCAACTGAGGACTGGGTGCCAGGCCTCTCTGATGGGGGCAGCGTGGGTGGAGGTGAGCACAGGAGGTGAAATGACGGTCTGGCAGCCAATATAGGTGCTTGAGCCAGCCCACAGGTGTGTGTGTAGACACTGCACTTCAAAGGAGGTGAGAGCATTCCAGGCCAAGGGAGCAATCAGGAAGGCCTGGGGAAGGAGGCTGGAGAAATGGCCAGGGAACAAGTCCTTGGCGCTGGGTATTTGTGCCAGGCTGAGGAAGTCGAATTTCATCCAAAGCAATGGGGAATCCTAGGAGCTTTGAGCAGAAGAATGGCACAGATGGTTTGCTTTAGAAGGCTCCCTCTGTCATATGGGAGGAGAGGCCTAGGGAAGGGAGTGCAGGGGGGAAAGGAGGAGGCCTTTCCAATCACTTTTGCAGACTTGATGGTGGTCTGGCATAACCCAGCAGTGGCCGTGCAGTTGGAGGGGAAGCAGCAAGCTGGAGAGATCTTCAGAGAGTGGATCTTTTTAACTCAGTGGCCACTCTGAGTGGGAGGGTGACAGATTCTACGCCCCCACCTGGAATGTGACCTAGGGGACTGTGAGGAGGGTGGGGATGGCATAGGCTGGCACCCAGTAATGCTGGATATGGGGAGTCTGAGGTGCCTGAAGGATATCCCGGGGAAGGCGTTCAGAAGGCAGTTGGATACCCAGGTTTGGAGGTGAGGGGGGAAGCTGGACTGGAGACAGGAGTGAGGTTGTAGGACATAGATGATAAAAGAAGGTGTTGAGAGAAAGAGCAAACACCCAGGACTGAGCCTCGGGGTACATAACATTGGGAGTGGATCAGGAGGGGAGAGGGAGGAGTTCCAGGAGCAAAGGGCTATGGGCCATTGCAAGAGAGCTGGGACCAGCTGCCTGAAAGCCAGGGCACCCTGCCTACTCCTGAGGCCCAGCTTTCTTCCTGCAGGTGTCCTATGAGGATGTAGATCACCTTCGGCCCCATGGGGTGCTGGACAACACCCGGGTGCCCCACTTCATGCAGGACTTAGCACGCTACCGGCAGCAGCTGGAGCACATCATGACCACCAACCGGCTGGATGAGGCAGAGCTGGGCCGCCTGCTGCCTGATGACTGATACTGGTTGAGGGCTACAGGCAGGGGCCCTGGAAAGAGGGCTCCAGATCAGCCCCCAGAACATGAAGCTGGCTGCTCTGTGCTTCCACAGCCTGCGTGTTTCTTGGGGAATGGGGAGGGCAGAAGCATTTCAGGAGGGAGGAGAGGCAACAGCAGAGAGTTTGTGTCCCTTGCTAGCCTCCCTGGACCCTGAAGGCCAACAGCAGCATGTCAGGCAAACTAAATCTGCCCTCCTGTCTCCAGCTGCCTTTTGAGCAGAGGAAAAGCCTGGGGGCAGGAGGGAAGCTGGATGGGGATGAGGGGGTGGCTTGGGAGTAGAAACTTGTTCTTGCACGAGATGGCTTTGGGTGTCTGCATACTCCAGTCTTTTCCTCCCCCACCTGGCCCCTTGGTGCTCCTTCAGCTTTCATGCTGTCTACCTCTCACTGGGTCCTGGTGGGGATCTCCCTTCTTCTGGGGTGATTGCCTGAGCCTGAGGTCCTGGCTTTCACACAGACTCAAGGAGCAGGGATCCTGGTAGTAGAGACCCAGCTGGGCTGGGGTGTGCTTTCCAGCATTTTGCCTCTCCCACTGTCATGTATTTATTCCTTATTTATGTGCTCTACTTACTGGGGCTGGGACGCAGCAGTTTCTGAAGGTTCGATGGAGGGAACAGGGCTCCTCTGGAAGGCACCGACTATTCCTAGCTCCACTCACTCACACACACACACACACACACACACACACACACACACACACGCCTTGTGAATCAAGCTAAGAGCTCACCTGGCCCTGCCTTCATCCCCTGCACTGGCCTCTACTGTCCCTGTCTTTGCCCACACCCTCACAGCTGGTCTCTGGAAGAGGTTGGCATAGCCTGGCAGCAGCCACAATGAAGCCTGAGGGGCAGGCCCCTCGTTCCTAGTTCTGAGCCCCTCCTAGACCAGGAGAGGTGCCAAGATAATTGTTGCTTCCAGTTTCATCTCAGACTCAGCTGTGTGAGGTTGACCCTGTCCTACTCCCTCCCTTGGCCTTAGTTTTCCCATCTGAAAACCTGGAAACACAGCTGCAAAGTCCTTATTCATTTAGTCAGTGAATATGTATAGAGCGCCTTCTGTGTGCCAGTTAACTGGTCACAACCCTCACTGAGCTCCCAGTCCCGAGAGAAGCCAATTAAAACAATTACAATGAACTGTGTGGGCTCTGCCTACTTGAGATCCCTTTCTCTTTCTAGTCTCACTTCCCAAGGTGGTGAGCTCTAGCCTTCTCTAAGTGGAAAGAAGTACCCTTTTCCTGGCTCTTTGTGCCAGGCCTAGGGGCTTTCATGAGGTGGGGCTGGTGACTACACATGTCCCCAAATGGTTCACGAGGATAAAAGGGCTGTGGAGCAGGGCCCAAGGGTCTGGCCCTTGTCCCACTGGGGACTCTCCAGGGGTACAGCTTGGGCTATTGAGGAATGGAAAGGGGTTGAGGACTGGGCCGTGGGCACAGGGCTGCCCGGGTCATTGGGACTTAGAGGTACAAATCCACACCCTAGTTCCTGGGCGAAGAGCCAGAATCACAGAGTCCAAGCTGACCCTCCAGAGTTTATTCACTTTCAGTGGTACTGGGACAGAGGGAGCCTTCGTGGCATCTGACCCCGGCAGGGCAGGATCCTAGATCCCATCCTGCTAGGGCGAGGAGCGGCCTGTCAGCTTTAAGGCTTTCAGGAATCTAGAGATGACGGAAGGGGTGTGGTCAGTCAGGTGGACGCCCCCCTCCGCCCCCCAGGCCACGCCCTCCCACCAGGTTTGGTCGGCCTCACACCTTCAGATTCGTCCCCAGCCTCTAGGTCTGGCTCCGGCTCCAGTTCTGGCTCTGGTTCTGTCCCTGGCTCTGGTTCAGGATCCATTTGGGGTTCCAACTCCGGCTCAGCCCCTTCAGGGGTCTCAGCTTCCAGCTCTGGCTCAGTTTCCTCGAGGGTTCCGGATTGCGCTGCCTCGGAGTCCTCAGGACCCCGGGCCTCATCGCAATCTGAAGCTCTGGGCAGCCAGGGGCATGCGGTCCCTGGGCCAGCTGCCTCAGGAGCCCAGTGGCCTGGGCATGGAGGGTCGTAGCTTCGTTCTCGGTAGCCTACGGCGGAGGTGGGAGTGTCTCAGATTCATTTTACCCCTCTGAGGTTTCCCCTGCACACGTGCGGGTCTTTGGGGAAGACCTCAACTCCTTGCTCCCACGCCACGCCCCCTCCTCTGACCTAGGCCCCGTCCCCGCGCGCGCTCTCACCCGTGCCCACGTGCTGCCAGTCCCAGGCGGGGTCGGGCGCGCGCACGGTTCGCTGGGCGCAGCTCAGCAGCTCCTGGCAGGCGGCTTCGCCCTTGCTTTGCACCAGCAGCAGCAGGCGGCGTACCCTGCGCTCGGCATCAGGCAGCGCGTCCAACGCCTCGTATTCGGGCCCGGTGAGCACGCCCCGTGCCAGCAGCGCATCCAGCAGCAGCCCCGAGTCCGACTGCAGCGTCTCTACCAGGCGTTTCCGCTCGCGATCGATCGTCTCTGATGGCCTCTCCTGCGTGTTGCCCATGGTGGGGGCTGCATGGGAGGTGGGGGGAGAGAGGTAGTGGGGGCCGGAGCTCCCCTGACCTTGACCTCTCTCCCAGGGCCCCAGTGAACACCCGTGACTGGGGTCTCTACTCTGACGGCTCTCCCCAAGCATGTCTTCCCTCCTGAGCCCCTGCCACCTGCAGATCCTGCGATCCATTCAGACCCAGTTTATCCAAACTAACTTCTCTTTCCCAACCTGCTTCCCCAACTTAACAGGCAGAAAGACCTACAACTGATCCTGATACCCCCACACCCAGCTTGCAGTCAGGTTCTTCCCAGTCTGTCCAATATTTCTGTCAACCTCACCACTTACTTAGTCTAGCCTTTCACTTCCATCCTAGACCCTGCAGAGCCCCGAATCCCCCCACTCCCAGATCCTGAAGTGCTAAGAGCCTCCGCTGCTCCTCTCACCCACCGGAGGAAGTCCAGACCCCTTATCCTGAGGTCCATCCTTCCAGGACAGGCCCTGCCCCTGCACCACCTCACCAATGCCACCACCATGTTGTAACCCCAAAGTGGTCTCATGGTCTCTCCTGGTTCTAATACCTGAGCAGGGATACCTGAATTCCCTTGAGTCTTAGCTCTGACCAAGATCTCCTGACATCACCTGAGACCAAACTGTCTCCCTGCTGCCCTGGGAATGATTTACAGCCATCATCTTTAAGTACCCAGGGCCCAACTCACAAAAGCTACCAGCAAACATTGAATTTTCACTGTTTTCCTCCATAGATCCTCCCATTTTGAGAGGCTGTCTCTTCCAAACAGCAGGTGTTAGGCAGAAATTAATCTGCTTTGTTCATTTATTGACAACCAAGGACAATGGCCCATCTCCTCTTGGGTGGCCTGACCCAGGCAGCAAGGCCCCTGGCATTAAGGGCAATTAGGTCAGGCCCTGGACCACTCCCCCTCTCAGCCCATCTCCCCTGGCCTTGGCTTTGTCCACAAAACACCCTCCTGGATCTCATCCTCCCTTTGGGGTCCCTCCTTTACCTCCTTACCTGGTTCTAGGTCTAGGATTTGGTCCTAGCCCCCATCCTGCTTCCCAGGTCTCACTACCTGGTGCCATGCTATGCCTCCCTGGTCACTTCACCCCTCCTAGCCATACTGAAGTGTCAGACCTTCCCCCAGGCCACGAGCAGAGACCAGGACTACCCTTTACCCCTCTCTCTCCCTTCATGTCCCATCAGGGACAAATGCTGCTCCTCCACTTCTCAGTGAGTTATCAGCATCTCCCTCAACCCCTCTATGGTCACCTCATCTCCTATAACAGTCTCTCTGAGTACCGCTCACTCCTATCCCATCACCCCCACAGAACAGTGACTTTGACAACTCTCTGGGGTAGGGCTTTTGTCCCCATTTTACAGATAAGGGGACAGGCTCAGAGAGATCAAGTGGCAGAAGTGGAATCTGACTTGCTCCAGCCTGAACTACAAGGTCTCCTGCCAAGCACAATGTCAGCCGTAACTACCTGTCCCCCACCCCCCACAGCTTATCAGAGAGAATCCCGACTATCTGTTCACTTCCCACCCCCTGGACAGCCAGGCTTTCCCCCACTTCCCTCCACCACTCAGTACTGGCACTTCCCAAACTTCGCAGGTGCTGTTGCCTAGGCCTGGAATGCCCTTTCCTCCCTCCATGCTGTGGATCCATCCTCCAAGACTCAAATGTCCCCTCATCCACCCCAATGCCTGAGTGTCCCACAAGCAGACTGGTTCCTTCTCCGTATCCCAGTGAACAACATACACCCTCACCACTAGGCTGACATCACTGCACTGTGTACTGTGGATCCTCTGCCCTCTTCACTTGAGGCTTCCAAAGCCTGTCCCCCAAATCGAGTGCAGGAAGGGAGGGAGGACAGAACCCACTCTGTACAGGTGCAGAGAGGGAGGAGGAAGATTAGACTGGCCCCTCCTTCTCTCTCATGCCTCCCCAAGTTCTTTTCATGTTAGCCTCCTCCTTCCGTTACCCCGAGTCCTGTCCTCTGTCCTGTCTGGGGTGCAGAGACACCAGCTGGTACAGGTCCTCACCCTGAAACTCAATGCTCAGAAGTGAATACCGAAGTTATCTCCTTCAGTGCTCACAGCCCAGATCCTTCCCGGAGCACCAGGCAGCTCCAGTTACGAGGCGTGGACGGGGTCTCTGCCGCCCTCCCCACCTCGCTCCCCGCGCGTCCTTTTGCTAGGGAGCGAAGGTGGTGGAAAACTGCGGGAGCCTTTGAGCACGTGCGAACCCTTAACTCCCCTCCACCCAGCCCCAGAGCTAGAGTCCTGCCGAGGGGCGGGGCTCACAGACCTCCTTCGGGTGCGGCTGGTTTTGGTGGGGCGCGGATTTTGCCCAAACTCAGTTTCTCTTCCCCACCGCAGCCGAGGGTCCGGGGAGCTCCCGGTCCGTGCGCTCCCGGCGGCCCCACTCACTGGTCAAGCCTTGGCTGGGGAGGAGATGACGAGGCAGAAAGGGCCGGGCGGGGTAGAGATGGAAGCAGCAGCTGCGGCGGGGGCGGGCCGGCCAGGGCTGCCGGGAACCCGGAGGGGGTGGGGAAAGGGGGCCATTCTTCCCGGGACGCGGGGAGGCAGGTCGCGGAAGCCGCGTACCGCCCGGGCTCGTACACGTAGTCGGCTTTCCCTCTTCACCCCTGGCGCGCCGATTGAGTCAGGGAGGGGACAGTTAAGCCCGCGGCCCCAAGTACCCCGGCAATTCCCAGGCGTTTTACACCCATCTTTGCCTGTCACAGACAAGGCTCAGAGGAGACCAGCTTACCCAGGCTCACAGAACGGATGCACTGCGGTGCTGGGTGTGACCCCAAAAGTCCCCGCTTCCCGGAGGTCGCAGTGGCCACGCGCCAGCCCTGGATTCGGACCCGGAGGATGGGGCCTAAGCAGGAGAACTAGGGGCAGGCTCCCCAAGCACCTCCACCCTTCAAGTGTTCCTCGATTAAAGCCCTAGGATCTGGACGCTGCTACGAATGCCAAGTCGCCCCCCACCCATGACTTCTGTGCTCCATGGTCGGTAGAGAAAAGAGACCAGAAACACAGAAAAAAACGCAGTTTTATGCAGGGCTCGGTATTGGAGAGGGGCTGCCAAAGTAGGAGGGGCTTCACTCAGCCTCCAGCAGGGGCTCAAGGAAGCCGAGCCGGGCGTGCTGGCGGCCAGCCCACCCCTCAGCCAGGCTGGTTTCAGAGTGGAGAGGGCTCTCAGGGGGAGGGGTTGGCCCCTGGGCTCAGGTAGGAGGCGCGGCTCTCAGGGGCGCTGTAAATGGTTAAAGCTCCCGGCAGGCTGAGGGCTGGGCCTCCCAAAGCGGCTTGGACATCCAGCAGGAGTGGTGCCCCCAGCATGGAGTCCTTCCCTAGGAGGAGTGGGGCTGTGCTCAGCGGGGAGAAATGGTCGCCTCCTTTCTTCAGGGAAGGAGAGCTTCACTCGCCTTGCCCTCCGGTCAGTTAGGATGAAACATCCACTCTCAACCCCCCCCCCCACCCCACTCTCTTCCAGTGGCTCAAGCAGCTTAAGCAGTACTCTGCAGAGCAGCCTGCCTCCGGGGATTTCCCTCCAAAACACCAACTGCCCCGCCCACGCAATCCTGGTAGCTCAGGCCCCTATGGGCCTCCCCCAGGTCCTGAGTCACCACAATTATTACCTGGCCCTGGAGAATTTAACCCCTTGACCGCCAGCTCAGTCTCACCCTTCTCTGGAACCAAGGGCTGCAACTGCATAAGAGAACCCCAGGAAGCAGCTGGGGAGGGGAGCTGGGGCTTTGGCTGAGGGAGAACAGCTGTGGACTAAAGGGCTTGGCTGAACAACCCTGAACCCCCTGCCCTTCCCACCCCCGTCTTACCAGGGACAGCTCCATGTCTAAGTCCATGAGAGTCCACTCCCGCCCTTGGAGGCTGGTGCCCAGCACCTAGGGGGAGCTCTGGGTCAGTGGTGTCCTCCCCAGGCTGCACAAACAGCTGGACCCCACCAAGCCCCATGCCTCTGCCCTGCTGAAGGTGTACTCACATCTAGGGGCCCTGCAGGCTCCACACTTTCAGGGGGGGCCCGAAGCAGCATTGGAGGCAACACACTCTCCGGGCTCCGGGCTCCTCTCTCCAGGTCCAGAGGCCCCCTGTGCACGGAAAACTGCCGTTGGCCTGCAGTGCCCAACCCCACCCCCCATTAGGTTCCCAAGGAACCTGAATACATCAGGATCTAAATCTGACAACATATAGAAAATGCTGGAAGACGATCCCTCACACACACATAGAGGGGCACACAGAGAGTGCCTCTACTTCCTACTTTTGGCCTGAGGTTTGGGTTGTGTCCCCTCCCTATGCAATTATCAATATCAGTGGTTCTTAAACTGTTGCGTACTTTACAAGCACCCCAGTGGTTGCATTTAAAATGCAGATTCCTGAGCCCTACCACTGACATGTTTCCACTTTCTAGGGGCCTCTGAAGCTGGTACTCCTTAGAGCAGCTCTGAGAAATCAGGTGAGACCGTGGTGCCCAACCGACCAGCCAGCCACCAAGGGGCAGAGAAGGCTGGGAAGTCTGGGGGCTAGTTAGTGCTGATCTAGCTGCAGAAGTGGCCCACAGGGCTTACAGTCAAAAATGGTCTCTCTGCTCACCTGTCAGGAACCTCCCTGGGGCCTCTTGGTTCAGGCTGCTGGGCACTCCTGGGCCCCTCGGGGCTAAGGCTCCCTTTCCCTTCCAGGATGGCCTGCACCACAGCCACAGGCAGCGGTGGGGGTGCTGTCACGCAGAAGTCACACTCGTTTGGGGCCAGGGCCAGCCCGGCCTCGCCTTCCCCCCCCTGGGCTGGCTGGCTCTTCTTTGAGCAGTGCCAGGCCCTTCTCCCTGCACCAGAGAAAAGCTTCAGCCAGACCCTGGCACTGACCTCTCCCCCCTCCCCACAGCCATCTGGGCTGCCAGGCCCTCAGCCACAGGCTCCCCAGAGGGCAGCCCCTATCCCTCTTACCTCCTGCCACCACTGGAGGGAGAAAGCCTGGTTCCTTCAGGGGATGGAGAGTCTTCCGGAATGTCAGAGATGATGGGGCCCCTGGCCCTGTGAGGGCTGCTGAGGCCCAGGGTGGTCTCTGGGAGAGGCTGTAAGTAGAAGATGAGGCCCAGCCCTTCACCTCAAGCCACAGGGTAAGCCAGAACCCAACCAGTACCACATGGGCTAGATCTAAGGGGGAAGGTTTGAGGGAGGAAGCTGGGCCCATGCTGGGGAGCCTGGGTCTGGTGGGAGGGAAAGCTGGCCTCCATCTTCTCTTCTTTTTGGGGAATGTGGAAAGGGAACAGGCTCTCCATAAACCGAGCTGTGCTCTAGGGAAGAGAGAAGCAAAAACCTACCGATTGGATAAAGTAGGGGTCCTGCAGGAGGGCACCAGGTAGGGGGCAGGCGTTGAATTTGGCTGGTGTTGGGCACCCCTCATCCAGCATCAGGGACCTGTGCAGGGTGGCCAGGGCACAGGCAGGGGGCTGGGTAGGTTCATCTCCCATGCCCCTCAGCCTGCACCACCTCCCTCCCACAGGCCCCAGCAGCCAAGTCAGCAGAGCTGAGGCCTGTTGCCAGGGCATCAGTCACATGCTAGAGGCAGAAGGGGCTCCCCCCAGAGATGGGGGCCCTTAGGGGGTAGAGAGGAGAGGGAGGGAGTGTGGTTTGAGACCCAGACCCTCTGCTGTTGGGATGCTTTGGGGTGAGGGGTAAGGGGATGATGGGGTGGAAATATGGGGTTAAGGTCCTGGAACTGAGGGGTCTGAGAGAGGGGGTTTTGGTGGCAGAGCTGGGGGTAGAGGGGGAAAGCCCTGGAAGGGGGCCCTTGGGGGGATGGCCATTGGGTGAGGAAGACTGTAATGCAGGGAAAAAGAATGAGGATTCCAGGTGAAGGGGCTTCTGGAGGAGAAGGAGTCCTGCCTGGGTTTCTGTGAGGGTCCTGGAAGGGGTGGGGGCGTCCCTGGGTTTCTCACTCACAGCTTTCTCTTAGTTCCTGCGCTGCTGGACCCCGCCTGAAGTGGCCCAAAGAGGCACTGGATCAGCTTAAGAGAAAGCAAAGGGTTAACTCATACTTTGGACCTTGCCCCCCACCCTAACGAGGCACTCCAGGTGGCTTCCAGGACTGGGGGGCGGGTGGTACGTTCAGGAGTGAGAGAGAGAAGTGGGGTAGGGGGAAGAGGAACACCTTGCCAATGACCCGGTGCTGCTGACCGTGGCTCTGCCGCAGCGTCACCACCTCCCTCCACAAGATCTCGTTCTGCCTGGGGGAAAGGCGTGGGAGGGTGCTGAGGCATCTGAGAGTTCGCCCGGTCACCACCCCCCACAGAATGGCAGGCCTGAACCCGCGCCCACTCGGATGATCACCCGTCCATAGACAACAGACTTCCTCAGCTCGGCCCATTGGTCTTGATGGAGGCGCCAAGGCATGAGAGAGGAAGGAGCTGCCTAGAAACGCTTGGAAGCCAGTGCCCCCTCGCCCAGACCCTCCCTTCCCCCTCCCCCTCCTCCTCCGCCCCCTCCCCCGCACTGCCTGAGCTCCCGCAGCCGCGCCTCGGTGCTCTCCTGCACTCCCCGAAAAGCCTGCACCTCGCCCAGAAGACGGCCCAGGTCCTCAGGGCGCCAGCGGCCGTCGTCGCCGCGCAGCGCAGGCACCTGCAGGTGGGAGGCACCCTCAAGTCAGAGTCGCAGGAAACAGCTGTCCCACCTCCACCCCTGTTTGCTGGTTCCTGCAGGCCGCCCCCACCTTACGCCGCACGCGTTCCAGTAATTGCTCTCGGCCGCGCACGAAGCTCGGGTGCTGGAACTCGACGTGGTCCCGTTCCGGCCTCAGCAGGCCACCCTGCTCGATGCTCACCACCTTCCGAAAACCGTCTAGGGAGTAGGGCGTGGGGGCGTAAATTGCCCCGCCCCCCCCCGCACCAAGTCACCCACGCCCGCGTCCCTACCGGCCCTAGGGACTCACACATGTTGAGTTGCCGCACAAAGCTCGCCATGTTGCTGTGCTTGAAGTACTGGGGCAGCACTTCCTTGGCAAAGCGGCTCTGGTCGCTGACGAGGAAACTGGTCCCGCTCTGTGGAGAACGCCGCCCGCCCACCCACCGTGCGGGCGGAGACCAGACGACACCGTGAGCGGTGCCCGCCCACGGCGAAGCCAGCGCTCTGGCGCGCGCGCATACACACTCGCACTCACTCTGGGGACCGAGGCTGCCATTCGTGGGGACGTGGGACGAGGCCAGGCCAGAACCAGCTCTGGCCTAGCCTGGGGCGACCACAATCTCTATCCCAGCCCACCCAGACTCCGTACTCGGTTCTCTGAAAGTAAGAGCAGAGGGCAAACCTGGGTTCCAGCCCCGGACGGCTCCCAGACCCGCGATGTGACTCTGAGCTAGAACCAGGCCCAGCCCTTCCCTTCTCCTGGCCTCTCTGTGTTCCAATCTGTCTGATGGGCAGGGTGGGAACTAAATGACCTGGAAGATCCTTCGGGTTCTAGGTCTCCTCCAGAAGGCTCCCACCCTTTTCCTCTGCCCGGAGGAAGTCGCCTCACCTCCATCTCGAATACCCCCTCCAAGCCGTCGCATACCCTGGACGGCTGAATCAAGGGACCCTCATCCCCGTCCCAGGCAGGGACTGGGTGAGCGTGGACGTTCACTGACGTGGAGGAATCCCGGGGACCACTGAGGAAGTCGAAAGGCCCCAGCCCTCACCGGGCTCCAGCGGATCAGGTGGTCGGTGCCCGGGTCGCCCACCAGCGCCCACAGCTTGCCAAGGAAGGCTGGCACGGGACTAGGGCCCGGCTCCGTGGGCAGCGCGGCTGGCGCTTCCTGCATGGCGCAGTCCCGGCCCCGTTTAACGCTTGGGCCCGGCCGCCGCGGGCTTGTCAAAGCCGCGGAAAGTGCTGCGTTTGCCTCCCGCTCCGCCCTACTCCGCCTCCCGGCGCCGGGTCAGGTGGGGGCCACGTGCGAACCAGCGGGGCGGGGCTCTGACCGCGGCCTCAGCACTGGCAGACAGAAAGGGCAGTATGTGCGTGGGGGCGGGGTGCGGTAGGGAGGTAGACCTGCGTCCGAGTCCCACCCCTCTCTCAGGCCCGCTGTTTCCTCCTTTGTTCTTCGGGAGAATCCAGCGTACACAGCGTGGTGTGGGCTGGGAAAGTCCTATAAGGCGATGGCGTGGGCATAGTGAAGCCTCGGGTAGAGGGGCAGATAGGAGCGAGCTTGAGAGCGGGAGGGTGGGGGAAGGAGAAGCTGGCCCCCTCCCGCCGAACCCTGGGGCGTTGTCATTCCGAAGATGCAAGTGCCCCGACACTGACCCCCGCAGCCGCACCAGTGGAAGTAAACCGTGAGGTCTCGAACTCTCCCACCCCTGCCCGGACCCCTCCTCCGGCATCTGCTGGTTCTCCTCCCTCCCCCTTCAGAGCGGACCCGGCCTTTCACAGGACGTAGAGGTACTGCTCGATTTATTTCACACTCAACCCTGAGGCATGCTTTGAACCAGTGCCCTCCCTCCTCCCACGCCGGGGCCGCCGAGCAAGTTTGCAGAGGACTGGGGTTAGAGGAGGGTGAGCCCCGTATGGCGGGGACAGTGGGTGTCTGCAGATGTTGACAGCAACGCGTGGACTCAGGTTGCTCCGGGCTGGTACTGACGCCATCCCACAGCCCCCAATCCTCGAGAGGGACAAGAGACAACAGAGTCCTAAAGGAGCGGACTAGCAGCTGACGCGCCCCGAGGCAAACCCACGCAGCATCTCAGAGGCCACACGTCCGCAGGGAGGGGAAAGAGGGTTTGTCGCCTCACGCCACAAGCGTGGGCCGCCAGGGATGCGGCTCCCGCGTCAGCTTGAGCGTGTAGCTGCGCAGGCGCGGGCAGTGCGTGCGGAAGGCATGCAGCACGGAGGGTCGCACCACGCAGAAGCAGTGCACTTCGCGCAGGCCCACGCAGCGCTCTGCCAGCTCCTCCAGCGCGGCGTCCAGCTCGGCAGAGGCGGCAGCGCGCACCTCGAGCGCGCGCAAGGTTGCGGCGTAGTGGCACGCTGCGAAGCGCACCGGGCCTACGGTGTCCCCAGAGAGGCTGAGGCGCAGCGCAGCCACGGGCACAGCAGGCTGCAGGACGCGTGTCACGCTCTCGGCAGGCAGAGCCGGCTCCAGCTCCAGCTCTACGGCCAGTCCAGGGTGGCGGCGGCTGAGCTCGGCCCAGGCTTCGTTAGGCAGGGGCGACGCGCGTGCGTCTTCGGGACATGCGCACCGCAGGGCCAGGAGCTCAAAAGGTGCGCGGTCTGGCGCCGCCAGTGCCTCGAGCGCGGTGCGCGACAGGCTGGCCAGGTGCAGGCCGAGGGCGCGCAGGCAGGGGCAGGCCTCTAGTAGCTCCAGCACGGAGCCTGGCCCCACGCTGCCCACCAGCGTACTGTTATCCAGGAAAAGGCTGCAGAGCTCCGGGCAGCTGTGTGCCACCTGCAGCACCAGCGCGTCGTCCAGTGTGAAGGGCAAGCGCCTTAGGTCGAGGTGGCGCAGCGCGCGGGCGGCCCTACAGAGGGCGTGCACGGCGTCCAGAACGTCGCGACCCGAGTCGAAGAGCCGCTTTTCTCCGCGGCACTCCAGGCACAGGCCTCGCAGCTCGGGGTTACGGCCAGCCAGTGCGGTCAGCAACTCTATGGCCGCCAGGCGGCTCGGCTCCCTGGACGGCACAAATTCCAGACGTAGATTCTGAACGTGGTCCAGGCAAGCGGACAGGTACTGCGGCTGCATGCCTTCTAGCTCACAGTCGCAACTTGGGGGTAGAGTGGTGGAGAAAAGGCATCAGCCGGCCGAGTCCCCGCGACCTGGAGAGAGGCCTCTAACCCACCCCTCAGCTTGGGTTCCAGCTACCATCCCCACTTCCTGCCCCCTCCCCACATACCTCCCTGTCCCGACCATGCCTGGTCGCTCCAAGGTGATGCTAGAAGGGAACTCCCATCCTATCCATTTAGAAGACTTCAGATGCATCTGCCGCTGGTTGAAACCTTGCCACGGAGAGCCAATGATATTTTAAGAACAGGGCTTTCTCAGCGGTCTTTAAGGAGGCGGGGCGTGGGCTCTGGATTGCCAGGTTCACATTTGCCTCTGCTACTTCTCAGCTGAGTAAGGAAGCGATTAAATCTCTCTGCCTCAATCTTCTATCTGTGCAACGGAGATAATAATACCACCTATCTACCATCTAACATAAAGTTTTAGTGAGGATTAAATAAATTAATATGTGTAAGGCACTTAGAACAATGGTTGGTACACAGTTGGTGGCCAATAAATGTTAGAAATTATTACACTTTGGGGGGGGCCCATGCATGTGGAATCTTAGTTCCCTGACCAGGGATCGAACTCACGCCCCCTGAATTGGAAATGCCCAGTCAACCACTGGACCGCTGGAAGTCCTGATTACGCTTTTTAATATGGGGAGAGTCACTGTGTCTCCCCAAGCCCTGACTCCACCGAACCAGGGAGAAGGCGGGAGGGGGAGGAGCCTGCTCACCTGATGTTCGTGTTGTGCCACACAGTGCTGCAGGTGGCAGCGGCAGCCCAAGTTCTGCAAACCCTCGCGGCAGCGGCGCGGTCCCGCAGGGGCAGGTGACGGAAAATGAGTGCCAGCACCTCCTCCGGCAGTTGTTCTCCAGGCTCCGCCATGGCCGGGCGCAGGGTGGGGGTTCCGCTGCAGGAAGGCCAAAGTGTTGAGGGAAACACCTGGAGCCTACGTGTAGAAATGCTTGTAGCCCAGGAGCTGCTATGTAATTTGCAGAGCCCAGTGCAAAATGAAAATGTGGGTCTCTTTGTTCAAAACATTATTAAGGGTTTCAGACAGTGACAGCAGAGCATTTAACCAAGTTATTAAACCAAGCCTGGGGCCCTGTGCAGTGCACAGGTCTCAGACCCATGAAGTCTGCCCTGGATGCCGAGGATCTCTGATTCTCCTTTAAACTACGTTCTCACTTGTTGAGCAAATCCACGTTTTATGCTATATTAGAAGGAACTCAACCACGACCGGTGCACCACGTTGATAAAGCCGAATACCGGATTTGGGATGATGCTATGGGATCTTTCTTCTAGTTACCAAAGTTTTCTCTGAGCAAGTTGGAAGGCGGATGCACAGGCTCTGACTCCAGACAACCACGTCCTCCCCCCAGCTCAGAGGGCCCCTCTTGCCTCCCCCTGCCTCCCTATACTACACGCTTACAGCCTCCATATGGCCCAGACTAGTCTCACAGGGGTCACTGAACTGCTTTCCTCCCAATTTCGACCCTGAGTACTAGGGGAGGACTAAGCCCAAGCACCGAGGACCATTGAAATGAGGCATTCTCAAAGGGCGCGGGGGCATCAGAATCACTTGGACACTTGTTCACACTACAGATTCCACGGCCCCACCTACTAAGTTAGGCTCTCCAAAAAGAGTAGGGCCCAGGAATCTGAATTTCAACAAGCGCCGGTGGATTCTACAGGTCCCAAGTTGAGAAACCCGGTCCTACCCCCGCCAGTCACTAGAGAGTAACGATAGGGTTAATAGGGCGGGAGCATTAGGGAAAACTTTTAATTGGCAGAGACCACAAGCCAATCAGAAAGCAGGGACGCGGGTGGGGCACAACCGAATCCGCCCAGAGAAGGGAGGCTCTTTCGTCCACCTCGCAGGGGGAGGTGTCCCGAGTGCTTCCAAGAGAAGGCCGGCGGGGCGGAGAAAGTCTTGGGTTTCTGGGGCCTGAGGAACCCTGGGTTCAAGTTCCGATCCTGAACCCCAAGCAGCCCAGGCTCCCGTTGGGCGGCTTAGGTTCAGCTGGAATTCGGCAGACCCACCTCAGAGAGAGCGCGGTCTTTGTTGGAAAATGTGCGTCCTCTTTGAAGTTGTCAATTTTAGTTTAAGGTCCTTAAAGGTTTTCGTACCCAACGTTTCACGCCACTGGCCAGTTTTCTATTTTCTAGGCTAACGGTCCCTGCTGGAATTTGCGCCTCGCGTATCCTGGGGCTTCTGATACCCTCCACCAGGCCTGAACTTGGGACCCACCGGCACCCCGTTCAGAGTGTCAGGGAGTATCAGAGATCAGAGATCTTCAAGCTCTACCACACAGAAGGCACCAGAAACGTCTGGTCCTCAAGGGGCGCCTCCTTGTTGATCCATCCTTTGCCCGCTGGAGGAAGAGGAGCAGCTCTCACCCTGGGGCCCTCCGGCCTCGTAAGAACCACAAGTCCTCGAAGTCCCTTGCCGCGGGCTGTTCTCCCTGCTGTCTAACCTCAAGCGCCAGTTTCTTACCTGCTCAGCGGACCAGGTGGGTTTTGCCCAGAGACTGGGGACTGGCGGCGATGGACAGTGGTGGGAAGGAACCGCGGGGAGCCCGAGGGGCGGGACGCCGGGACAGAAGGGGCGGCTCGGACTGGGGCGCCGCCCCTGCGCTCCGCGCACACCCGGAAGCAGCGCGAATCCAGTGGAGCCGGGCGGGCGTGGGAATCCGGGACAAGCCGAGGCGGCCAGGTTAGTGCAGAGGGTGGGTGGGCTTCCCAGTGCCAGCAGGAGCCGAGGTGGATCCTGGCTCAGAAGCATGGGCGCGGCGCGGTTGTCATCCGCGGCTGCTCGGGTCAGGTGGTGGTGGTGGCCTATTGGGCTGTTTCCGTGGGAGGCGGGAGAGAGGGTACGGACCTTGGTCCCCGAAAGTTCCTTGTCCCAGTTAGGGGATTTCAAGGGGCGGCAGGACCCTGTGGGTGAGAGGACGGGGTGGGGCTGTTTCTGAACAGATATTTGAGCAGAAACCCTTTGCCCTCCCCGGCCAGTAGCAAGAGCAGAACTCCAGAACGAGGGAGGCCGGGGAGCTCCCCTCGAGAGCTCGGGAGCGGCCCAGCTGAGTAGGATGCTGGGACTCTCAGCCTGTCAGTCCTTGAGGGGCCACGCCCGCCAGCAGGCCGTCACCGTCCACCCGGCCAGAGGTGGGGCTACCCGGGGACTGTTAGGCCGTGTTAATAGAACGCTGCACCGGCTGGCTCCCGGTCATAGGGGCATATTTTCTTGAGTCGGTATCCAGCTAAGAGTTCCTAGAACCCAGCCCGGCCCCGCCCGCAGAGAGGCGGACTCTGGGTGGGTGGGGCGCGGGGCTTCCCGAGGAGGGGCTTCTTTGGAAGGACACGTAGAAAGGAGTTCCCAAGGGCGCGAAACGAGCCAAGGGCCCCGGCCGCTTCTCAAAGGTTATCTGTCCTTCTCGACCTCTAGCCTGGCAGGCCTGTTTGACTTCTGTTTGACTTCTCCCATTTGTCCAGTCGTAGTGAGTGTGAGGGAGCTTCCCCCCTCCTCCAGGTTTTCAATGTCCCGCAGGTAGGCCTGCTGGGGAGACTACCACCCTTACTTATCCACCCCTTGGGGCGGGACTGCATCTACGGGGTTTACATAAAGTAGAATATTGCTAAATACAGTGAAAATAAAAATCACGCCAAGTCTCCCCCTTCCCCAACAGAGGTAAACAATGGTAACTTCCTGTTAATTTCCAGACTATGGTTTTGGGTAAACACACAAGTATTAATATGTCTTCTACCAAAAGATTATGGGGGGGCGGTGCTCAAAAGGTACATCCCTGTGCTCAGACGCAGGGCAGGGTTATCAAGTATTATTTTTCTTGCCAGGTCTGGGTGATGCTGGAGCGCTCCTTCCTAGGTACTGTCCCAGATTTGGCTCTCACGTTAGGGTTTGGGGGCAGAGCTGAAACACAGAGTAAACAGAAATGATTTAGCTCACATAATGGAAAAGTCCAAGATGGGACACAGTGTGGTTAGGAGTGCACTTCATCTCTTGGCTCTGTAGCCTCCTGTGCCAGTTTCATTCTCAGTCAGGCTGTTCCCAAGCAGTGGCAGAGGAGAACTACCCTTCCTTCTAGCTCAGCTTCAAGATAGGAAGGGAAACTTATGCCTCTTTCCTATTGATCCAGCCAAATTTGCAGGTTGATTTTGATTGGTCCAACTTGAATCCTGTGCCCAACTCTGAACAAATCATTTCAGGAAGGCGAATGGAATATGCAGATTGGCTAGGCCTGTTTCACTTGCCCAGGCCTGGAGCTAGGGAGTGGAGTTAGCCCCTCCAACAGGCATGTGGATTGAGACAAGGGAAGAGGGAAGGCCCCAGAGGTCAGTCAGGATTGCGGGAGGGAATCTGGGCAGGCGCAAACTACAGGTGTCCTTTGAAGTGAAGCCTGGAGATATAGTAGGAATTCAGGTCAGAAAACCAAAGTGGGGGCTCTGGTCCCACAGGGATCCTGGGGGCTCAAATTTAAGCTGAGGGCATACCATACCAGCACATGGGTCTGGTTTTGCTGTGGGGCATGGGCACCATCCAGGATAAGGATGTCTCCAGTCAGCTTTGAAAAGAGAGACACTCGGGCTTCCCTGGTGGCGCAGTGGTTGGGGGTCCGCCTGCCAATGCAGGGAAGCGGGCTCGTGCCCCGGTCCGGGAGGCTCCCGCGTGCCGCAGAGCGGCTGGGCCCGTGGGCCATGGCTGCTGGGCCTGCGCGTCCGGGGCCTGTGCTCCGCGAGGGGAGGGGCCACAACAGTGAGAGGCCCTCGTACCGCAACAAAAAAAAAGAGAGACACCCTGGCCTGAGGAGGGAGCAGAACTTGTTGTTTCTACTGCAACATTTGTCCCTCTCCTCTTCCATCCCTGTGACCCTGGGCTCTTTCTCTGAGAAGACAGTGGAGAGACAGTCCTCACTGAAAACCTTGGCTGGGCTGGGCTGGGCTGTGCAGAGCCAGAAGCACAAGGGGCTGCCTGTGGGATGATGAACTTACCCTCATAAGTATGCCAGCTGGGTGGGGACGGCTGGATGTCAGCTGAGGGGACAGCTCGGCCACGTGGGACTGGACAGTTGTCTCCAGAGCTGGGTTGGGGTGATCTGAATGCCTATCTCTGTCCCCAGGAGACAAGATGGCGGCTGGGCCAAATGGGCTGGAGGAGTGGGTGGGCAGTGCCTACCTATTTGTGGAGTCCTCGCTGGACAAGGTGGTCTTGTCGGATGCCTACGCTCACCCGCAGCAGAAAGTGGCGGTGTACAGGGCTCTGCGGACTGCCCTGGCAGGTGCGTGAGTGGTCAGGCACTTGGAGAGGAAAGGCCGGCCTGGGGCCTTTTGTGGGCGGGGCCAGGGACTGAGACCTCACCTCTTCAACTCTGTGGGCCTGTGCTTAACCACCACTTTAAGGAAAAGATTCGTTAGGGAAGGGAGGAGGAGGACGCCTGGTTGTGTAGGGTCTGTCTTCTCTGTGTATGCATGTGTGCCCTTGGGTGTAGACTTGTGTCTCTTGTGTCTCTGTATGATCTATCTATGTGCGCACTAACGTCCCCCTGCTCCATGCCCCCCCACTCCCCGGATCAGCCCGCTCACTGCTGTCTACTAATCGTGCCTCTCTCTTCTTTTCCTCTCTCACTGCAGCACTCCTTGCCCAAGACCCCCTCCCCAGTACCTACCTTTCGGGTCCCCTTTTCCCATCTCAGGGCAGAGGCCACTAGAGGTTGAAGCCAATAGGGGGATCTGGCTCCGGCCTCAGAGCGACGAGAGCCCCTCTCCTTCCAGGGCGGGGGGAGCCACACTAGAAGGCCAAAAACCTGAGACCTCTCGCCCCCTGTCCCGCCAGCCACCTACCCAGAGGGCTTGGCTGCCCAGGGCAAACGCCCCTTTCTACCCTGCAAAGTCTCTTGCATGTCCTTTTTGCCCACCCTCATTTGGGGCTTCAGGATTGGGGATAGAGTAGCACACACTCCATCCTAGGGTGCTCCCTGTGATAGGTCCTGGCCTTTATTCTGGGTTGTTGCTGTTTGCATCCCAATTTGCTTCCCAGCTGGGAGCTCTGGCGTATAGCCGCGCCCCTAGGTCTGGGGATGGGGAGGGCGTCTTACCCGGGGCTTCATCCGTCCTCCGGCCTCTTGGAGAATGGCCCCGCAGGGGGACCGCATGCCACCTGACTGCCTGCCTCCGCAGAGAGTGGCGGGAGCCCCGACGTGCTGCAGATGCTCAAGATCCACCGCAGCGATCCGCAGCTGATCGTGCAGTTGCGTTTCAGCGGGCGCCAGGCCTGCGGCCGCTTCCTCCGCACCTACCGCGAGGGGGCACTGCGCGCCGCGCTGCAAGGGTGCTTGGCGGCGGAGCTGACCCTGCACTCCGTGCCGCTGCAACTGGAGCTGCGCGCCGGCGCGGAGCAGCTAGATGCCTTGCTGACCGACGAGGAGCGCTGTTTGAATTGCATCTTCGCCCAGAAGGTGCGGCCGGGCTGGGGCCAGGGTGGGGTGGGGATTCGCGGCTAAGACCCCCACCGACGCCGCACTCCCCTCCCTAGCCCGACCGGCTCCGGGATGAGGAACTAACAGAGTTGGAGGATGCGCTCAGGAATCTGACGTGCGGCTCGGGGGGCCAAGGGGGCGACGTGGAGGGCGCTCCGGCCCCCTCGCAGTCTCTGGCACCCTCTCCGTCGGAGGAGAAGCCGCCGCCGCCGCCGCCGCCGCCGTCGTCTGGCCAGACTTTTCTGTTCCATGGTCAGCCCGTAGGTGAGACTCCCGGAGAGAAGCAGAGGCAGGATCCTCGGGAGGATGGAGTTTGGGGAGGGGCGAGGTCTGCGCGGGATAGTCGCGGGGCGGAAATGGAAGGGTGTCCCGAGCTCACTCCGCTTCCCACTCCCCCTGCAGTGAACCGGCCGCTGAGCCTGCAGGACCAACAGACGTTCGCGCGCTCAGTGGGCCTCAAGTGGCGCAAGGTGGGGCGCTCCTTGCAGCGCGGCTGTCGTGCATTGCGGGACCCGGCGCTTGACTCACTGGCCTATGAATACGAGCGTGAAGGGCTGTATGAGCAGGCCTTCCAGCTGCTGCGGCGCTTCGTGCAGGCCGAGGGCCGCCGCGCCACGCTGCAGCGCCTGGTGGAGGCGCTCGAGGAGAACGAACTCACCAGCCTGGCAGAGGACTTGCTGGGCCTCGCAAATCCCCATGGCGGCCTGGCCTAGCCTGGGTACCAGAGAAAGGGGCAGTCGGCCAGTTGCCCAGCCAGGGTTTGGAGCACCTGGGTGACTGTAGGGTCCCTTCTAATGCTACTGCTGACCTCCTGTCCACCCACGGGACTCTGACGCCATACTTACAACCAGATATGGCTGCCCTCTCCAAGAGTCAGACAAGCACCCACAATGTCTGCTGGGGTGCCACTGGAGGTTCTGTTCTAGATACTAGGATAGAGACAGAGCGTATGGGTGACCTGCTGCAAGAGGTCGACCTCACCTTTTCCCACCGCAGAAGAGGGGCTTTCAGCCAGACCTTACCTCTTCATTCACAGAACAATTCATTACTATTCATTAATTCAATATAATTCATTAAGGACCTGCTGTATCCTAGGCATCATCCTGGGTGCTGCAAATACTGTGGTGAACAAAACACACGAATCCTGCCTGTCCCCAGTTCACACTCAGTCTGAGACTCTGAATATTAAGAAACAGTAATAAAATACTACCAGTTTTTTGATGTGAAAAATACAAGGAGTTATGGGAGCAACTGAGCAGGGGCCTAACCCAGGTTAGGGGTTAGGCTTCCTGGGAGAGAAATGAGTGTGAATGTTGTGGGTGGTGGAATGAGAGAAGGGCAATATTCTGGGCATGGTCAGCCTCAGGTGAGGTCTTGAGGAAGGTGAGAGGAAGGGGTTTAGAACAGAAGGTTTAGAGTGGCTGGATCTAAGGGTGGGTGGATTTGCAGAGACCCATTGGTGAGTGGGGGAGGCAGAGAGCATGGGGTCAGGTAAGCCAATTTACAGAGTTTGGATTTTATCTGGAGGCTAGTGAGAGGCCTTTAAAGGGTTTTGGCAGTTAAGGCTGGGAGGCTGGTGAGGATGCCGAGAGAGAGAAAAGACAGTGCCCCAGGCTGGGGCAGTTAGCAGCAGAGATGGAGGGAAGGGATGAACATTGAGTTAGGACAAAGGACAACAGGCCTGGTGACACTGAATGAGGGAGGTGGGAGAGGACTCCAGAGTTTCTGCCTTTGCCAGTTGGAGGGAAGGTGGAGCTGCCTGCTGAAGGGAGGTGAAGTGCTTGCTCTGTTTGGGACAAGTTGGGCATGATGTTCCTGTAGAACATCCAGGGAGAGAGTCCAAGGATAGCTGGATCTATAGTTTTGAGTTCAGGAGAGTGTCGAGGCCCAGGATTCAGAAATGTACAGGTGGGAGTGGGTGGGGTGGCCCAGGGGGAGGTCCTGAAGGTCACCAACCAGAAAAAAGAGCAACCCAAATTGCAAGGAGGAAAACCAGATTTGGAAGCCAGGGGAATACCCACCTGCTGTGATGGAGGCTGCAAATCTGTCAAAGCTGCGGAGTGTCCACTGGAGTCAGGGAAAAGGTTACTAGGTGGGGGCTGTTTCTGGGACACGGTGTGGACAGCCTGAAACCAGACCACAGGAGGGATGGGAGGTGAGGCAGCAGAGACAGCCGGAGTAGAGGACTCCTGAGAAGTCTGTGACCGGGAGAGGGAGGCTCAGGTCAGAGGGTTTATTTTGTAAGGGAGAATATTGGTGGGAAGAAGTCAGAAGGCGCAGTCACAGCCACTGGAAAGAGGATGGCACTGGGTAGCAGTGCTGGTTCTCACAGTCTGCCCTCAGAAACTCTTGGGTGGGGTGGGGCGGGGCGGGGTGGGGTGGGTGTTGTCTACTCCAGGCCCCACTGCATGGCTGGGACCTGGAGGCTCTGAGTTCCAAGAAGAGAGAGGTGGCAGCCAGAGCTGGGCAAGGCCTGGGCCCCAATCTCCAGAGCGCCTCTCTGCCCGCCTGTGTCCACATCAAACCCTTTGCTCACTGGTCTACTTCAGGAGTCCCCCAAGCTAAACCAATCCCTGCCAGCCCTACCTGGCCTGCAGTGGGCCCAGGCTTGGTTATTTCTTCCTGCAGGAGGTGATGATGGCCTGGGGCACTAGGGACTAAAGAACTCAGAACTGCCTCTGGAGAGACAGACTGAAGTGCTCACCTGTGAAGTTAAAGCAGACAGGGTTGGCCCCCCTCTCCTGCATCCAAGTGGATGGATAGGGAGAGGGGCAAGGGAGGACAGAGGAAAGAGTCTTGGACTGAATTCCAGAAGATCTGGGACAGTGCTCTTACCTTCTGCCTGTACGATCCTGGGCAAGTCACTTAACTCCCTGAGGGGCAGCGTCCCCCATCTGGGCATGATCAATGACAGCTGCTGCCAGGGTTGTGAGAATTGCGCATGCAGTTTTGTTGGTCCTTGTGTGCGTGGTGTGTCTGCTGGCGGGCATGGCAGAGCCAGGAGAGAGGAGGCAGCCATGTATCCGGGGCACTTTTTGGACCCTGTCTTGCGGAACCAGGGCTCCTGGAAAGCTGAGGAGAGGCACTTCCAAGGATGGCCTGGGAGGGGTCGATGCCAAGCCCTCCTGCGCTGGGGCTCCTGCCCAGCCCAGGCCCTTTCTGCTCCGGAGAGGCAGGGGTGGGGAAACTAACCAGAAAGGTTAATGCTTCTTCCCGTCCGCCGGAAAGGCAGAATTGGGAAGTTTGAGCCTGCACGGAGACCAGAACTCACCTCTTTGAGCTTCCCAGAGAGAGCTGACCGTGAGGATCCCTCTCAGAGATTAGTCTCCACTAGGAGACAGCGCTCCGGCAGCGCCAGGGCGGAGCTGACTGAGCTCCAGATGTCCGGGCGCACACAGCTGTAGGGTCACGTGGCAGCGGCCCCGGCCCCCCTTCCTGCCAACGTTGCATTTGGCCCAGGCCCCGTCCATGGCCGCCCTTGGGACCCCGCGCTGAGCCCCGGAGGCCCCGGCATCCGGGGCCACGCCGCTCCCAAGGGCCGAACGTGTATCAGGATCCCAAGGACCGCCGTGGTGGGTAGGGATGGGTAGAAGGGATTCAGCCTCAACGCGGGAAGAGGGTGGGGCCGAGGCTCCGCGTCTCCCTGTTCTGGCTCTGGGGCACCGTGCTAGGCCGGAGCTGAGAGGGTGGGAGTCGGCTATTAGGAGGAACTTCTTGCCCCTTCAGGGTGCCCATCCCGGTGGGGGGTCAGGGCCCAAAGTAGGAGGACAACGGAGGGGGATGAACAGCCGGCAGCTGGAGACCCCAGGCGTGTGGTCTCCCGCGCCCTACCCCCGGGGAGGGCGGGGCCGGAGCCCCTGCCGGCTGCTGGCTTCCTTGTCTTGAGCCCCTGACTGAGTCTCTCCGCAGGGGCCGCGGGCGCCTGCCAGGCGGACATGAGGCGGAGGCTGCGCCTACGCGGAGAAGCGTCGCTCACGCTGCTCCTCGGCGCCGCCCTCGGCCTCCTGCTCTATGCGCAGCGCGATGGCGCGGCCCCGACGACGAACGCGCCGCGAGCTCAAGGGAGGGCGGCGCCGGGGCCCACCCCGGGGCTCCGTGTATTTCAGGCGCCGGACGCGGGCGCAGCCCCGCCGGCCTACGAAGAGGATACGCCGGAGCCGCCCACGCCCACGGGACCTTTTGACTTTGGCCGCTATCTTCGAGCCAAGGACCAGCGGCGCTTCCCTCTCCTCATTAACCAGGCGCACAAGTGCCGAGGAAATGGCGCACCCCCCGGCGGACCCGACCTGCTCATCGCCGTCAAGTCGGTGGCTGCGGACTTCGAGCGGCGCCAAGCAGTGCGCCAGACGTGGGGTGCTGAGGGTCGCGTGCAGGGGGCGCTAGTGCGCCGGGTGTTTTTGCTGGGCGTGCCCCGGGGCGCGGGCACAGACGGGGCAGACGCGGAGGGGGCGGGCACTCGAACGCACTGGAGCGCCCTGCTGCGTGCTGAGAGCCGTGCGTACGCGGACATCCTGCTCTGGGCCTTCGACGACACTTTCTTCAACCTAACGCTCAAGGAGATCCATTTTCTGGCCTGGGCCTCCGCCTACTGCCCCGACGTGCGCTTCGTCTTTAAGGGCGACGCCGACGTGTTTGTGCACGTGGGAAACCTGCTGGAGTTCCTGGCGCCAAGGGACCCGGAGCAGGACCTGCTTGCAGGTGACGTGATAGTGCAGGCGCGGCCAATCCGCGTGCGGGCCAGCAAGTACTACATCCCTGAGGCTGTGTACGGCCTGCCCGCCTACCCGGCCTACGCAGGCGGCGGCGGCTTCGTTCTCTCGCGGGCCACGCTGCGCCGCCTGGCCGGTGCCTGCGCGCAGGTTGAGCTTTTCCCCATTGACGACGTCTTTTTGGGCATGTGTCTACAGCGCCTGCGTCTCACGCCTGAGCCTCACCCTGCTTTCCGCACCTTTGGCATCCCTCGACCTTCAGCCGCTCCGCACCTCCGCACCTTCGACCCCTGCTTTTACCGCGAGCTGGTTGTAGTGCACGGGCTCTCGGCTGCTGACATATGGCTTATGTGGCACTTGCTGCACCGGCCACACGGGCCAGCCTGTGCGCATCCATGGCCTGTCGCTGCGGGTCCCTTCCAGTGGGCCCCCTAGCCACCTGTCACAGCTCGATAAGTCCCCCTCATTCAGACCCAGGAGGTAAGTGGGAGGTAGCTTGAAGGGTAGGTTTCCCAGGCGGATTAGTGCTGTGTATGTGATTCTTCCCCAGAAAGGGGCATCCAGGTGTCTTCCTCCAGAAGGTCCCAGGGAGTGAAGATTGAGGTTGGTTCCTGCTGACACACCCTATTGGGAGGTGATCTGGAACCAATCTAATGGTGGCCCTTTGAGACAGCCAGGGCTGAGGTGGTGGAGAACCAGGCTCTTTGCCAAGCAGGTGAACGTGCCTGGTCCTCCTAGTAGGGAGGTGGGTGGGGGTGGGGGTGGCAGAGGCTCATGGAATCTGACCATACTTCTTAGTTTGGAACCCCTAGAGTGAGGCCAACAAATGCAGATCTTTCTCAAGGCTGGACCCCACAGGGATGGGTAGGGGCCTGGCCTCAGTCCTCATGGAACCGGCAGCCATTCTGCCACAACTCAATCTGCAAGTAGGTGTTTTGCTTCCTATCTGCCCCTTCAAACTGCATTCTTAGCCACGTCTAGGTCTTTAGATCTGCTTTCCTGGGGCCAAGCCCTCCTGAGCCCTGGACTAGCTGGAACATTAGGGATGGAGACACACAGGGACTGAGCGCATTGTCCTACCTAGTCTTCCCCCATATCCAGCTACCCACCTACTACACCCACACAACTGTGCCATTCTCCCACTGGAGCCTGTGCTACCCCCTTCAGAGGAGCCAAGGAACCTTTTTCTAAGATGACTCCTCCAGCTGTAAGTTTCCCCATATTCTTCAACCACCCCCTTTCTCAAAAAAATCAACGCCTCCACGCTCATTTTAGTATAAACATCCCAGCAACAGCACATGGGGAGCTGTCGTGGAGGGCATAGGTCTTTATTGGAGGAGGGGTACGGGCAGGGCATGAGGAAGGTTCCCCCATGCTAGGAGGATGGGAACAGTCCTGGCTGCCCCACAGTGGGATGTGTGAGGGTCTCTGGCCAGGCCACAGTCCACACGGGAAGACACCAGTCACAAAGTCATGGGAACGCCACACAAGCCTGGCTGTAGGCCCAGGCACCACACAGGCGCCCAGGGCAGGTCCCCTGCACATTCATTGTTAAACTATACAGGATGAGGCTGTACATGAGTTAATTACAAAAGAGTCATATTTACAAAAATCTGTACACACATTTGAAAAACTCACAAAATTGTCATCTATGTATCACAAGTTGCTAGACCAAAATATTAAAAATGGGATAAAATTATACATTTCTCTTCTCAATTCTTTTCAAAAGGATTAATATTTTTAAAGCACATATGCTACTTTCCTTAGCAAGTCCCACGAAGAGACTGAGCAGCCCAGCCCTCCATGAGCCCCAGAGGCCTTGAGCCGTGAATGGGCCCAGCCAGGGGACACTGCCCAGAGCTGAGGCAGGGGGGCCAAGCCCACAGTGCAGAACAGAATGCTGAAACACAAAAAAAGAAGGAAGATGTCTTTGGCTAAAACTTTGGCATTAAAACAAAGAGGCAAACAGGATGGAAACATGCAGCCCTGCCAGCCAGGTTGGGGCAGAGTAGGGGAACAGGCGGCCTTGAAGGCTGGCTCCAAGAGGGGTGGGAACCAGGCCTGGGCACATACCTTGATAGTAGAAAGTTGTGTTTCAACCAGTTCGGTGTGCCTACTGGGCCTGGCAGGGAGCACGTGCAAGAAAGAAACAGGGAAGGGCAAGTGGGCCACCTTGGCCACAGCCAGCTCATCAAGTAACTAAAGTGGATGTAGTGCAAAAGTTGCAACCAAGTACTACGGACATGCTACCTGCTTGCCTTAAGGGTCATGTGGCAATGTTGGGCCAAAGGCAGGACCCTGTCCTTGTCTGGGTGCCTGTGTCCTCAGCCAGAGAAAGAGCCCCAAGTTTTCCCAATGTGTTGGGGACAGGGGAGACAGAACCCTGTCTCCTTACATGTTAGTCGAGAGCTCCAGGGTCCAGGTATCAAGGCTCAGAGTTTGTGCTTCTCTTTGCAGTCTGTGTCCCCTGTTGGCACCAGCAGGCTGAGATCGCACAGAAGAATATTTGGGCCTCTCACCCCATGGCAGAGCACCCAGCCTGAGCCCCACCTCAAAATACCACAACAGCCCTTCCACACTGGCAAGGTGTCCAAGAAAACCCACAGGGTGGCCTGCTGAACAGGATGCGATACACAGTTCCATGGGGCAGAGGGGCATGGGTGGTGATGTTCCTAGGGGAGTTCCGCGGTTCTCAGGTGGGCACCAGGCCTGGGGGGGCCATAAAGGGTCACTGAGGCAATGTGGTTGTTCTGCATGACCTGTTATGAGAAGAGGACAGCGAATCAAGGGGGAGGAGTTGAAGGGATGTAAGCAGAGCAGGCAATCAGACCCACAAAAACCGGCAGTGGCATCAGTCCTGTGCTGTGACTGAAGAGAAGGGACTTGAGGCAGCTCCTGTGCACAGGGGCTGGAGGTTGTGTGTGCAACCCACCTGCACACGGGGCTGGACTGACCCCTCAACACCCCCCAACTCATGCTAAGGGGGGCATCTCTGCTCCTGTGTCTGCCTGTTTCTCTGGGATATATAAACTTCACCACACCCATTTGTCCAGTCCTTCTGGAACTGCTAGAGGTCTGCTGAAGGTATGGCATCCAGATGGGAAAACAGGGGCAGCCCATTCTTCTCCCAAGCCAGTGGGGCCTCTATAGCCACTCACCCCACAGCACATTCATTCACATGGCATTTAAAGGCCCCCAACACCCCCGGACTGAGCCCCACTTGCTCTGTGGTTACCTTTCCTATTGTACTCACATTTTCAAATATAAATGTGGGATCCCCATTTCCTCTCATCTTGTTGGATTAACCTGCCCAGCAGGGCCCTCAGGCCCTCCCCAATCTCCCTCTCAATCACTTGCCTGTCCTCGCCATGACCACCGGCCACTCAACCCCCAGGGCTTACCTCAAAGATCATCCGCTGAAGACCAAAGCAGAACGTGGAGCCAAATGGGTTGGTGTTGTTCGGGGAGGAGGACCTGAGGCCGGGGAAGCCACAGTTAGAGGGGCAGACAGAGGCCAAGGCCAGGCAGGGCATCCGGTTCCTTTTGGGATGGGGGCTATTAGCCAGTGGTCCCTCATAGCTGTGAGTGTTTCCCACACAGGCCCTTGAGGTCCTAGGCATAGTTATGGGTCTCATTCAAGCACCAAATCCTACATAGTCCAGCTGGCACAGAAAGTTAACATGCAGTTGGACTGGAGTGGTGCAAAGTCAGGAGGGAGAGGGAGCGTCAGGCAGGATGCAACCAGGTATTGGGCTGTGAACTAAAGCAGGTTGCAGCTTTGATAGGGAAAAGGGGGCCCAGGACAGCTAGTCAAAACTGCCTCCCTTTCTGAATAACTAGAGGCAAAAAGGTCCCCATACCTGGAGGTAGGTGGGAGAGGGGGGAGCTATCCCAAGGGGCAGCCTCTCTGGTGTGAGTAAACATGCAGAACAGCTGGCCTAGTCCTAACACGCAGGGTTGCAGCAGGAAGCATGTTTGTGGCAACATCAGAAGTTTGTCGTTTCTGTCATTAAGCCATACCCACTGCTAGGGCTCCCTGGGCCTTCTGGGCTGTGAGGACCCGGATGGGGTGATCAGAGGCAGCAACCTCCCGCTCACCTGTGCAGGACAACAGGTTTCTCCACAGGGTGGCCCAGGAGGTCCTGGATGTTGTCCCACTGTAAGAGGGATGCGGGTGACAGGGGATTAGCAGGGACCCGACCCTACCCGTGACAAATGGCTGGCCCAAAGGACATGGGAACCCAGACTGCTGGCAGACTCATGCCTACCTCATTTTCAGACTGCATCAGGTGGGAAAATAGGAGCTTACCTTGCTGTAGGTCGTGCATGTTTCTGTCTGACCATCTGTGTTTTCTGAAAAGACAACACAGGGTGGTTGGTATCTGGCCTGGCCCAGATTCAGTTCCACACCTGCTCAGGTAGATGTCTCAGCCCACCTGTGACCCCAGTCCTAGCCACCCTATGCACTGGGATTGAAGTTCGGAAACCAGCAATCCCATGGTCACAGGATAAGACCTTGAGGGCCTCCAGGAGACTACAGACCAAGAACACTGTGGGCCCCAGAACACAGAGCCCAACCCAGAGGAGCTGAGGCTATGGGCAGGAGCAGGTGGGCAAAGATGCCACAAACCCAACCACTGCCACCCTCTCTGCATGGATCAATCTCTTCTCATCATGAGAGATTGATTCTAAAATCCTTTCCTTACCCTGAGGACACTGACTACTCACCTCTCTTTACAGTTAGTGGGATCTTGAACTCACAGCGGTGATAACTAGAGAAAGAAGGCAGATGGGTAAAGGCTGAACCCCTTGGGAGGCCTTGACCACCCCCACATCTCAACTCTGCACCCCAGGAAAAACAGGATCAAGCACACTTGCCCAAAGCCCTGGCTCTGGGCCTGACACAGTGTTCCCTGGGAGAGGCCAGATCTGGGCACTGGAGTCAAACCAAAAAGGGCACAGCTTGGGGGCTCTGAAGACCCTATCACCTCAGATAAGAGGCCAAGCTTTCTGAATCTATTTCCCTATTTGTAAAATGGGTATAAATGGAGAGATATAAGGAAATGGGTACTATACCAGGAACAGAGCCAACACTCAGGAAATGTTTGCTTTCCATGAAATAGCAAACATCCAAAGCCACAAGCTCTCTTTCCTGGAGGGGCAGGTACAGGTATACTCACATATTAAAATTATAATGTCCAGGGTAATTGGTGTGTAGGACAAATTTCTTCACTTTGTGTGTATTCGCATCAAAGAGGATGTCCTGGGATAGAAAACAAGGATGCCCAAGTGGGGAAAGTTACTGAGGCAGGGCAGGGGGCTTTCGAGGGCATGTCCAACTTAGAGACACCCACTCCACAATGGGGATGCCCTTGGGGAACAGCTTTCTCCCAAATAACAATCAAGGGGACAGCTGAGGCTGAGTGCGAAGGGATGACGACATACATCGAACCATCTACAGGCCTCGTCATTCCAAACCTTGTACCAGTAGGCCCAAAAGGCACAAGGGACTACAGCTCCCACTGCTTGGGAACTCAAACACGGTCAGGGACATCTTTCCTGACCAAAAACACCTGATAAAAAATGTAACCGAGTGCTTGCTTCAGCAGCACATATACTAAAGTTGGAACGATACAGAGAAGATTAGCATGGCCCCTGCACAAGGATGACATGCAAATTCGTGAAGTGTTCCATATTTTTTAAAAGACGTTAAAAAGGGCTTCCCTGGTGGCGCAGTGGTTGAGAGTCCGCCTGCCAATGC